TACATTTCTAAAATTCCCTTTCATATGAACCTTCTCCTGACAATAACAAACACAACAAAAAAGACATGCTAAAATTGGCTCGTGCGTCGTTGAGTTCAACTCATTTTGCGATTTAATATTAGGTACATTATACACATTATCTTTGAACGAACAGAAAAAACAATGTCCCAATATTTCTATATATTTACAGATATCAATTGATACCAGCCAGGTTTACTATTAATGCACGTTTTGCATCTGTGCTTTCTCAGTCAGCATTAAATAGGAATGTTTTTTAAACTAGATCAGACTTTAAACAAAGCACCCACCCAAAGTTCTGGCATTTAATATTTAGTGGAGCACCGTATTAAGATGCAAAAACTTTGTGAGTAGAGGAAACGTAAAGAATAACTCGAAAAGTCTATAACAAGTACCTATTTTTTTTTTTTGTAAACCCAAAAAGCCTTGTTTAAAAACAAAAGAAAAAGAAAAAATGACGTGACAGTTTGATCATAGCGATGGAAAATTCAAACATCGAACGTAGCGTACTGACACTATTCGGTACAAACAAAATTGACAAATACTCCTGTCTTCTTGTGTGCGATTTGATGTGTGCCAATCATATGCCAAGCTGAACAGAATTTAGTCGTTACGGGAAAACCTTTGCTGATACAGAATATTGACCAAACTGAAAGACTCACTTCCCGCTCATTGTTGTGTGGGTAGCCAGTGTTATGTTAATAATGACCGATGTTTTTACTGCCACACTAAGCAGTTACGTCATTATAATTATTTTTAACCAGCATTAACATTGCCAACATATTTTAGTTAGGTAACCGGTTGATTTTTCGTTACCTACCTGATTGATGATTTTTTCGATTTTTTTTTGCTAATGCCAGTAAGTTTGTAGCAAAAAATCTCGGGGATTATTATTTATCATGAATTACTAAGGTTAATGAAATTAATTACAAGCGATTTTTTTTTTATTAAAACCATTTTTATTTTTCAGTCTTTGCACTTATGTTATAATCCCTTTTATGCTTTATCATAAAACAATAAGGGTGAAAATCTGTACGAGTCAGATGGGTATGTCATGTTTCCTTATTGTGGCTATGACCCATGTTCAAACATTCTATGTAAATACATGTGTACCTACCTACTTGTGACATGTGACCTACATGCCTTGTTACCTCAAGTCAAGTAGCTTTATCATTAACTATTCAAATATTCTTTAAGTCATAGGTACCATAGTCCTTTCTTTTGCTGTTACAATAGAATTGTATAGGTAAACACTTCAGTTAAATATTGGAATCGATTCTGACCTTCATATCACAAATCGATAAACTCATACTACTGGCTAGTTAGAAACTGGAATTTTATTGAACATTCTTATTTTGATATTTAGAACTGGCAGCACATATTAATATTATCATCTACAGTAGCTAAAAATGATTACTTTATTTGAAATCATGTTGCAATTTACAATTTCCTTTTATATTTTACCTTATCGAATCAGATGACACAATCGATGACAAACAATGAATTTGTAAAGAAAAAATACTATTTCTACCCATTGAGATAGAATTTCCTATGTTAATGTTACTACCAGTCAAAATTCCAGTAGCGAGTGATTTGTGGTCCCATAGAAAAAACATCCAAATAAGTACCTACATAATATCAAATTTTTCCAAAATAAAATGAATGAATATTTGAAAAGCAATGTTGTTGTTACATCCGTTATTTCAAAACATTAGTGTTTATGTTTTTATCTATTCAAATAGCAAACGTCCTAACGATGATCGTTATCGTACCAATGCAAAACATATTTTTCTTTATCATATATTAGAAAATAAAGTATTTATTAATGACATTTAGTTCGAAACATTGAATTTTTGGTAAGTAGGTATTTTACAACATGTTTGATACCCACCTATAGATAAGCCGGCGAAGTCAGCAACAGCATTGAAGATACGGACGAGTTAACGTAATTTGAAATGTATTTCCATTCATCACCTGATAGCAGTCACAATGTAAACATTGAACTTATTACATAAATGACTGTATAATACCGCGGGCCGAGAGAGAAAATAGCCGAGCGAGAGAGGTAGATTAGTAACACGTGGGTAGGTAAGGGAAGGGTATATTTGTGCTTGGCCCAAATTCGCGGTGTAGCAATGAGCCGCGGCGCGAAAGAGCGCGAGGCGAGTGGCGACGAGGATGTTGCGTCCGTCTCACATCGCTACCGAGTTGTGACTATGTACTTCAGACTATTCTATTCAGGCAGGGCAGCTGACGGGCTATTCTCAAGACGCCTAAAATTAATGATATCGTAGCGTTATCGCAAGCGCACAAAAAATATATTTGGCCTTTTATGTTACTTTATTAATTGCAACAGTTCTTTGAGAAATGTCATTTTGCTAAATAGGGACTAATAGGGAGGGTAACTAGAATAATTAAATTGTGATCTTAATGTGTTTCTACTGATGTTGTCGTTTGAATGCGGTTGTTCAGTTTACAAAGTTGGTTAGTCGTTATTATCTAAAAATATTAGTCCGTAGTAGTAGGTAACAGTCAAGTTAGAAAATCAAATCCCGTAAATTGACACTAATTTCTAAGCAATTTTGCAAGAAAATTAAATTAAATAATTACCTGTGACAAGAAAAACTAAACCTGACCTTAGCAAGATTTCGCTATAGGTAATAAAGATACGTTACCGTAACACGACACCCTTCACGGTTGTCGAATAACCCTACTAACATCTGACGCAAAAGAAAGAACCGAATAATCTATACTATAAGTACACAGCTGTTTACGTACCTATAGCTATCTACTACGATGTGACGTCATTTCATTCAAGAAACGGGTTTCGCGAAAACTTCAATGAACTGTTGAACGTAATTTAGTTGACGCATATTACCACTACCGCACGTATTTTAGTCCTTGTGTAGGCTAATTAGAAGTTTATCGGGGCGTCGTATTTTTAGCGCGAATATTTCTGCACTAAATAATGTATACGTAATATGTTACGTTATTGAGAATTCTTATCGATTTAATTATGTACGTAAGTATTTACCTATATGGTTGATGCTTATATAAAATCGATCTTGTTCAACAGAAGAATCCCTTTTTTGTGAAAGGTGATTCTTTCTGCGGTTAAATATGTAGGTAGACGATGCATATTATTCACCAACAAACGCTATTTCCCGTAACATGGTTAAAATGTTGATTTTTCAAATAACTACGAAAAATTATCAATACTTTTAATCCAAATAAAAAAAAATAGATGAATAACAACAACTACATGAAGTATTGATTTTATGTCACACCCAGATGAGGACGCAACGCCTGAATATTTCAATATAAGGTCTGCTTAAGGTAAAACAATGAATGTATTTTTGAAATATATTATTTTTTAATCATTGTAAAACAGTAAGCCATTAGTTTGTAGCACCAAACAAAATATTCGCTTGTTAAAAAACCTTAGATCTTTTGAAGTGTAATCCTTACCGTCTACGTCAGGGGATCTGTGCCCTGATACCATAGAAACAAATACAACCCCTATCATTTAACAAGGTAGGTACGCTTACTTTTTAATATCATTGCTTCCCAAATTAATCCTCCAGGGGTATGATTTTAATGGAAATTAAAACCATGTCCTCTACATTGTTTTTGGTTTGGGTTTACATACTTATATTGTAAAATAAATCAGCAAAAAGCAGTCCCATTAACTGAAGGTGATAACTATGATAAATAGGTACCTAAATGTTTCGATTATTCCGGCTGAATAAAAAGTCTGATAAAGTTTACAAAAAATACCACTCCCAAAGTTACATGACCAAAAACCATTATTTACCTTACAGGCTTATGTTGGTACCTTTTTAGAATACCTACTACTAATCCTTAGAACCTACCTACGGATTAGAAGGTATTGTATATTATAGTAAGGGTATAAGCTAATAATAGGTACGCCTCCAGTTTGAATACTCAAGTCAGGCTTCAGAAACCGTCCGAGTTCAGAATCATTCATCGAAGATAGGTCGGGATTATGCTCCGCTAGCTCAAAAGAGGAGCAAAAAAGGAAGCCTTGCCTTTGCTTTGAAATGACAAAGACATGGAGTAATAAGTTTCTTAAGAAAAAAATACGGTGCAGTGTACTTAAGTACTTTATTACGATATTGTTTAGAACACAAAACAATATCCAATACCTGAGCGACAATGCCATTTCACGTATTCTGACAGACGGAGCCTGACTTCACTTTGGGTACCTGAGACACAGGTAGGTACCGACCTAAAATCACATGCCAACCTTCTTCAGACCGAAGCATCTCCGCGTTGTAAACGGCTCCTAAATCCATTGTGTGCATAATGTTACGAACTGAATATAAATCCAAGTTCATAACAACCTGATTTCACCATCAAAACATATTTTAGTCACATAGGTATACATGGCGAACGTCGCTTTGCTTATCATATTTAAATAAAGCCGATTACTGTACTACCTACTGCCAAACGAGCTTTGGAATTCAGCCCGCCAATTTATCGCGCGTTCTTTTTTTGTGACTCTGATACTAATACCTACGCATGTCCATGGAGCCTGTAGTATTAAAGTAGGTATTAAAAAGTGTATTTATTTTTTGGGAATGTTAAATGGAACTAAATAATTTTAAACTAGGTTTAAAAAAAAATATTTGAAACTATGTACATACATTACATACATAATAATGTGCAATTGTTAAAAATGAGATTTTATCATTTTCTTGTTGCCTATCTGATATTTATAAACATCAATTTTAAATACCATTACCGGGTTTGGGTGTGATATTATGTTAAATTGTATGTTTGTAAACACACCAACGACACAGGAGAAAATCCAAGTGTGGGGCAACGTTTTTATAAAAAATAAACAAAAACAAAAATGAACCTTATTTTATAAGAAGAGCTAGTTTATCAGTCAAATCGCAAAGTCGTTAAGAAAGAATTTACCTACTATAGCTTTTTTTGTTTTAGTTTCGAGTAATTAATTTTATTTTCTTTCTGCATTGGAGCATTTTAGTTTAAAATTTTCTTATTCTTGGAGTGTTGCTAAAGAGACTCTTTGAAGTTTAAGTAAATACTACATTCATAGCGTTTTCAGTCTGTGTAAAATTTCCGTTCCTAACAACGGAACAATTGGGTTTGATTGTCTTCTTTAGAATGTCTAGAACGAAGTGTTTATATACTATTAGGTTCACAACAACCCGATTTCACCATCAACATATATTTTAGCTCAAACAAGCTTTGGATTTCACTGAATTCAGCCCGCCAAATTATCGCGTTCTTTTTTTATGACTTTGATACTGAACGCATGACCAAGCCTGTACTTATAAAGTATTAAAAAGTTTTTTTTGGGGTTATTGAATATTGACTATTTAAGTAACTTCAAACTAGATACAATACACAGATAGTATTATACTTACCTACTACCAATGAATAGGTAACCTACAATTGTTTAAAATGAGAAATATATTATTATCATCTATGTAATATTCATAATTATTTATTTTAATGTACAAAATTCGATCATAAATCAGTTTTAAAGAGTTTTACTCGTAAAAAATACAGTACGTAAAGACACCCACATGAATCCACAATACACTAATTTTAAGTATTAACATTTTCATTTTCTGCTTCTGCCATTTGTTCAACTTCTGATTTAATATGAGACATAGTACTTTCATTGATTTCGGATTTAATTGGAACAGAATGTTTGTACAAAGTTGAAGGACAGGGTAAACATAACGTACTTTGCAAAAACTCGTATGCTTTCGGGCTGATGGAATATAAATTTGAACAGTAATTAATGTAGTCGTTATCATATCGATTTCCTTTACCATGTTGTTTTAGTTGACTTTGGGCTTTTATGAGGAGAGCTAGTTTGTCAGTTAAAAATTTATCGCAAAGTCGATGAAAAGTATTTTCTTCAGCTTTTTTTGTTTTAGTTTCGTGTAATTTTAATTTCTTTTTGCATTGGATGAGTTCAGCTTTTAATTTTCTTTCTCTTGGAGTGTTGCTAAAGAGACTCTTTGAGGTTTGAGAAGAGACTACTTTTGTAGTATTTTCAGTCTGTGTGCAATTTTCCATTGCTGACAACGAAGCAGTTTGGGTTTGTTTGTCTTCTCTTAGAGAGGCTGAGACTTCTGAATCGGTACTGGCTAAGTTTGGCAGCAGCAACATTGGTAGGGTATTCCTTTTTAAAACTTTTCTGTTTGATGAATGCAGGAAATCCTCCGAATTGAAATGTTTTTCACAAACATGGTATGAGGAAAACTTCTGTTTGTTTTTCAAATCATCTCGACGGATTAGTTGCAACCATTGAAGACGTCTGAAATAAAATCTTTATATAAGCAAAAAACATAAACAATCTTTCACACGATAAACGCCACGGGGGTCAACTACTTATGACCTCCATTAGCGAAGGATTTGCCTTCAACAGTTTTCTGTCGGCAGTCAAAGGCACAGTAAAAATATCATACAGTCTCAGAATACAGAACAAACCAGAAGGCGGCAACGCGCTTCATATTAAAACCACTCTTAGCTAGAGTAGTATGAAATTTCTACGATCAGTCAATTTTGGCACGTGGCATGTCGTGACGTATTTACGAGTATCAATTTTTTTATTATGCAGTCTTGTGTTATTCCTACGAGTAAAAATAGAGCTGGAATTACGAAAAAAGTGGATAAGATTACATTTCATCTGCAAGCATCGACTGTAATAGTATATTTAATTAATTATTGATTTTCTTTTAACGATTTATTTTTCTATGACAATGATGCGGCCATTTTGTGAGTGTTGTCATTTTTGGTGTCAATTTTACCCACTTATTTATTTGTTGTGAGTTATATTGTTGTTCATTGTGGAACCTTTGTCATATTAGTTTTAAAATGGATAAAAAACACATTTACTAAAATTAAAATGGATAAAAAACACATTTACTATACACGTTGTGTATAGTCGGTGTAACTAAAATTAACACAGCCAGAAATCGTCAACTTTTATGATACCTGCATGAAATGTGTAAACAACTAGTCTGTTGCAATTATCGTAAGTTTTCCTATATTTTTTTTTGGGTTTTCCCAAAAAATATATCTAACCCGCTTTAGTAAAATTACCCCAAACCAAGGGAATTGTTCCCTGTCGGCAACACTACGCGGGTGGGAAGTGCGGCTAGCGGGGGGACTGACGTATTGTTTTTGGACACATTAGACGACATGTAATAATGAGTGAACGCGGATTCTGGTTTGTTCTGTATTCTGAGCATAGAGTATTGTAATTCGGCCGCTTGAAAGAAATAAATACCTACAGCCGCGCGGTACGTAAACATGAGTTAAGGGCTACTCGTCTCCAGTATTTTAATTACCTTTGTCTACTTTCTATTTCCATTTAGTTTTGTGATTGTAAGTATCCCTTGTTAAAGCAGCAGCAAAAACTCTTTATGAAAATTTCGAAAATTATCTAATGACACAGAGACTGTCAAATTTATTTTTTCTAGTATTATTCATAAACACAGATAATAAAAAAAATTATTAATAATAAAATACCACACTCTCTACTTTGAATTATACAAACTAACAAAACATACATGAACCGTTTTAACACAAGCGTAAGTAGGTAGATACCTAGCGTATCATGATTCATTCAGAACCAGAACCGCCTATAACTACCTATTTTACTCGTCTCAATAACTTTATTTATTTTATTTATAAATTCAAACACCTGTTTTCGTGAGATAAAAGGAAATAATGATCCATTATAAAGACACACATTATGTACCTACCTAGGCTACTAGTAAGTAAAATTATTTTATAGTCTTACCTTTCAGAGTTTGGAGGTAATTTAAAAAAACTTATGTCTGGATGCGTTATTGACGAATTCATGCAACCAAACACAGCACAATATTTCCTATTCGTCATATTAAATAATGTACTCGAGCTGATTTCTAAATAAAAGACAACACACCGTCCGTTCGTCACTGCGGTACAGCCGCGACTGTCTGCGTCCCGAGCGCGCCCCGACATCGGGCGCGTAGGTACCTATAGTTCGCGTTTCGGCCGTTTCACTTAATGTGAGAAAAGAAGAATGGCAATCTCGATGTCGGTAAAAAAAATCTAAAAAGCAATAACTAAACGCTAAACAGCATGTAATGCTAGATAAGTAAATTAAAATGTTGTTCATTGGCTGGGTGTTTAAAAACTAACCACTCGTTTTAGAATAACACTATGAACACACTTTTAATATTGTTATTTTTTTTATTTGTTAGTAACAGACATGCACCGAAGATACAAGGTAGGTACTACCTAGTGGGTTTACCTACCTACTACCGTTTCATTCTTCTTCTTCGCCTATTCAACCCGTCTTAATAACTTTCTTTTACTCTATTCGCTTTATTTATTAATCAAAACACCTTTTTCGTAAGATAAAGGGAAATACTTATCCATTAAAATACACACATTATGTACCTACCTGCTGGTAGGTAAAATTATATAGGTAATAAACTTACCTTTCCGAGGTTTTCGGTAATTTAAAAAAGCTTAAGTCTCGATTCGTTATTGTCGAATTCATACAACCAAACACGGCACAATATTTTCTACTTGTCATTTTAAATATGTTCTTGACCTGGCGTTTAAAACAAAAATGCAGTTATTGTTAAAAACACAACACGCCGTCCGTCAGTTCGTCACTGCCGTACAGCTGTCACTGTTTGCGCCCCGAGCGCATTCCGAGATCGAGGCGCGTCGCGCGTAGGATAGACATCGTTTCATCCGTTTGTATGAAGTCGGAATACCTCGTGGTTTCATACGCAAAGGGTAAACGTACCTAATCATGAATTCAGGATTCATGGACCACCTATTTCAGTCGTACAAACTTTATTCACTTTATTTATAATTTCGAGAGATAAAAGGAAATAGGTATAGGTAGATACTTATTAGTTAGTTATCCACAAAAAGAATCATTGTGTAGGTTACTACAATACAAGCAAGTGAAATTATTTTCATTAACGTTTCCAGATAATTTTAAAAGCCTAAGTCTGGATGCGTTATTGAGGAATTCATACACCCAAAGACCTCTATAAATATAACCTACACGTTATATTAGTTATGTAAGTACTGGAACTAAGTTTTAGTGAAAAAATCGCGATTATGGTTTTAAAACTCAACACACACATGCGCATACTAAAATCGAGGAATGTAGTAATAGATCGCGTTTCGTTGGTTTGTATGAAGTTAGAATGCTTTATAGATAGTATTACCGTGACAATAGCGAAACAACGGACAAAATGTGCCTTATCACGGTGCATATCAGCGAATGTTGTCGCCCTGAGCTATTTGTTGTTGAATTCGATAAGATAAAACTCGCGTTCTTAATTTAATGTTCATATTGAAACCAGTACAACTTCGGCTTTTTAAGCATGTTGTTTTTTGCAACAAAACAAATTACATATGTGCACATTTTAAAAGAAGAGATAAAATTATGCGGTAATTAATTAGTAGTATGTTAGTACACGCAAGGTTTAACAGATGGCGTTAGTTGTGAGTTGGAAGACAAGCGTATCGCGTGGTTACAAAAATATCTGGTTTCTCCGTATCGCGACCGACCGCGCGACCGAGAGCACGTTGTGATTATCACAAGTCACAACTCACTGACCTTGGGGCAAAAAGGAGAAACAATTTTAATTCCAACTGCGGTGTTTTTCTTACTTGAGCATACTAATAAGGCGTTGTTCATTCTTAGAAACTTTGCTTCATGAACAAACGATTTTGATTAGATGTTTTCGGATTTTTAGTTCAGGTCTTTGTCTAGGTTTAGAATAAGTAAATCGGGTAGGTAGATAATATTTAAATTTAAATTATGGAAAACAATATCTAGATAGAACTTGTATTTAAAAAGTTGGTGAGGAAATCTCAAATACCTCGATGACAGGTACGTAGCATTTAAAGTTCAAATGAGTAGGTCAAAGTCATAGACGACTTTACTCTGTTTATTTTATTTACTCATTTATTTTTATTGTATTTTAAGTATAAAAACAAATAAGTTTAGAAAGTACAGGACGCAGGCGGTGATACATTTACGCGCGCTTTCCAGGAACGCGGACAAGTGGGTTGTCAGCATACCGCGCCGCACGGCAGTGACGCACTCAATTTTAATTCCCGCTATTCAACAACTACCTTTAGAACGATATGTATACATCAACGTGCGGTGTGTCACATCTGCTTCATTTGTCCAAATCGTGTAAAGTATGCATTGAGTACTTTTATGAGCTGTTTGCAAAAAAAATCATTGGTGTTTTATAACATTGTTCAGTGAAGGTAGCTAGGTACCTACCTACCTATTTTTTTAATTATCAAAGCAGGCAATTCTATTGCCTATTCCAAGTTTTTGTTTTGGATCATTAGGTACTCTTTATCCGTAAGGTCCATATTTGAACACTAAAGTCAGTCTATGGATTTTATTCACGTACCGACAGACTATTTTTAATTAACCTTTAATTAGAGTTGATAGGTATCTAAATATATTAAAAAAAAACAATAATAACTGCTGTAACTGTCCTACACAGAATAAAATTATTGCTTGAAATGCTTCCAAGCATAATTTAAACAAATGTTCACATCTTTAGTAACATTTGAAAAAAGCATTTGTGAATGTTGTATTTTGCCGGGCTCGGCCCCAGCAGGCAGCCAGTTCGTTTATCGAATACAGACGGGATCCCAGTATAAACATAAAAAATTAAACCTCACCGAACCCTCGGCGCTCGGCGCGGCACGGCGCGTTTGTTCCCTTCGTACTTTTTGTGCGCTCGGCCAAACCCTCGACGCTCACTTCTTTTAGGGCCCGTATCCCTGCATTCAACCGCCACCCTATTGAAGCCATATTTCGTTCGAAATATTATGCCGTAAAGGCCGACGATACTGTATTATCGTTAAGTCGCTGCTCGTTAAATTATACACCGTTGACTGTTCTAAAGAATGCTATCAGGAATTTGAATGTTCTATGATTTTTGTTCTCAGAATATTCTTTTGTGTTAGCTAATTTGGAAATGTTTTATTCCATTGTTTGCGAAATATTAACGTTTTCGGCATTAACATTGTTTACAGTTATAGTTTAGTTTTCGTGATACAATGGCATTAATTGTTATTGGCTGAGACGCCGTTGTTTATAATGTAGGTATCTATTTAAAAGCGACTTGCGAGCGCGCGATCTGATTAATGGAATAATTGGATGTCATATCGCGAGAAATTATCTCTATGTAACAGCGACTGTAATTTCTGTTTGTTCGTATTATTTGTAATGTAGAATTAAATCAAGATCGGTTAAATAGTTTATAAAAAACAAACATTCATCCATTCTCCAAATTGACGCATCAATTGTGGCGAGAGGAAGGCGACATTCCCATCAGACTAAGTAGGTATAGGGAATTTTGGCTGAGTTTGAGCATGCATGAAAGGTCCTGGGCACTCCTGGGTTCAAGTTCCAATAGAACAAAATGTTTTTAACCGACTTCAAAAAAGGAGGAGGTTCTCAATTCGACGCGTATTTTTTTTTTTTTTTTTTTTTATGTATGTACACCGATTACTCGAAGACGCCTGGACCGATTTGCAAAATTCTTTTTTTATTCGATAGGGTATACTTGCCATTTGGTCCCATTGTCATGAGGTCAGGATCTGATGATGGAAACCTGGAGAAACCGAGGGGAACTTTCGAAAATTGTAGGGGCGAGTAGGTTTTTTGTATGATGTTTAAGTAGGCCTTTAACAACACTACAACTTGACGAAGGTCGAAATCGACCAGATGTTGGAGCCGGAAGACAGTCGAGGGATCTCCTTGACTATTTGGAGTAATTGCCTTGTGTTTGGGCTTGAATGATTCGTATTGGTGAGCACTTTGCAGCAGGCTTGGTCGTAACTGTCATTAAGGGTCTGATGATGAGAACGAAGGACAGCTCAGGGAACTCCTGAACGGTTTACAGTAACTACTTCGTGTTTGAACTTAATTCATTTATATTGATGAAAACTTTGTACCTGTAGGTATGTATCATAACAACTGAAGGTCTGCAGTTTACCTGATGATGGTGACAATTGACCGTCGAGGAAATTCCGGATGGAAACGAGAGACAGCCGAGAGAACTCCTCAACGATTCATAGCAGCTTCCTTGTGTTTGAGCTTAATTTATTCGTTTTGATGAGAACTTTACACCTTGATGGATTGTGACTGAAGACGAACGACAGTCTAGGGAACTCCTCAACGGTTTACAGTAGCTACCTCGTGTTTGGACTTAATTTATTTATATTGTTAAGAACTTTCCCTCTCCTAGAGAGATAGCCTGTGTCCCAGTAGTGGGAAAATTAAAATGGCTGATGATGATGAGAACTTTCCCATTTCTTGGGATTTTTTAATCGGGCGGCTCCTTTCGTTGGCCTACACATAGCTACTTAAAAATATTTACTATTCAATATGTTAATTTATATTTAAAATATTACTGTAGTTTACAGAAATACTTGCAACAGAAACTAAAAAGAAAAAAATAAAAAAAACTACGTTTAAAAAAACCGACTTCAAAAACAAAAAAGTGTCAAATAAGTAATTAAAATTGATATTTTAATAGCACTCTTACGTACGCGAAGCTAATACTTTTACTATTAATAATAAAACACTATCAATTCTATGTGCTACCTATTCATAGGTTTGAAGTCGGTGCCAAGCCCTAAACAGAATAAAACTAAATGAGAATTAAGACTGTTTAACTGTTAAAAGACGAAATTTCCACAACTAACAACGCAGCTACCTTTTACTACTTTGAACAACCAAGTACGAGAAAACTTTCAGAATTCATAATTCATCCAAATATCTTTCTAAGCTATATACAGTTTCGCCGGTAACGCAACCATATAGACTTCTGATTCTACGCTAACGCCATCAAGTTAGAAAATCGGTACTAAATTTCTTAAATCCTAACAAATAAATTCAAACGCGCCCTGCGAGTTTAGGTACTCACGCTTATTATATTATGTATTAGGCTTGGCACCGAGTTCAAACCTATGAACAGGTAGCACATAGAATTGATAGTGTTTTATTATTAATAGTAAAAGTATTAGCTTCGCGTACGTAAGAGTGCTATTAAAATATCAATTTTAATTACTTATTTGACACTTTTTTGTTTTTGAAGTCGGTTTTTTTAAACGTAGTTTTTTTTATTAAACTCTCAGTAGTAGCAAGGCGCTTGCGTGTATACATAACAATGGGCAATCGAGTAATAGTAATCGACCCCTGTTACAGGCCACCAATTGAATGAAAATGCATTCAACTTAGGGTGCACCGTATATTTCTACCTGCCCTTAAACTAAAAAACATTTATTTAAGTTTAATCAAACTGCTTTTGCAAAATTTAATGAAAAGAACGATCTTCATCGTGAGCGACTATTTATAAGCCGACAGAAAACTTTTGAAGGACAATCCTCCGCTACCATAGGTCATCCGAGCACACTGTTATAGCAGCGGTAAGACCCTTGTTTGAGGAGTTACTTGAGAGACGCCACGGCGCGGCGTCCTCACCTTCCGTCTGACGCAAGTGGTTACCGGGCACGGCAGCTTCAGTAGGTTCCTGTTTCGTATCGGCGATCTTACATAAGTACTTATATGGCGGTAAGAACGCCCGAGTGTCGTCATTGTGAGGACCATCTAGAGGACACGGTGGCGGTGTGCCCTGCTTGGGTTGAGCACCGCCTTGT